GGGTTCAAGCTAAACTCTTTTGATGAGTTTTGGGGGGTTGCCAAATAGGCTAGGATATTGAGTAATCTTTTTGATAGGAAATTCCTTAATACTTCATTGCGGTTATAAGGTTGATGTGTTGTTGATTCTTGTGTGAGAAAACAGTAGTAACTAATTCATAGATTTTGATCCATTTTTTTAAAAAATCATTGTATTAAATTATAAACTGGGCTGATAATTGGGTTCAAATGTGATTCTCGAGGTACGAAAATATGAATGAATTGCATGATATTGAAAAACAGGGTGCATAGCACTTTTGACTCAGAAACTAATGATTTGTCTGCTCCATTTGTCATCGCTTTTCTATCTCTCTCTACTGTTTTTAGTAGTCAGAAGAATCTTCACAGCTCTCTTCTGTTGTGGATTGATTCAGAAACAACTTGTGATGAGCAATGAGCATCGATTTTAGTACATGTTCCTTATATGATCCAGCAGGAAAAGGGATGAGGATTGGACAATCAAGAGTAGAACTGATATTAAAAGACATCCAGGTATGTTCATGTTTGAAACTGCCTTGAGTTCCTACTATTTTGAAACTAAGCCTTAAATTTTTCATGGATTATTTATGGAAATTTTATCGAGTACGTTTATGATTTAAATTCTTTTTTACCATATGAACGTTGTGAAACATCATTCGGAAACATTTTGAATTTTTTTAAGTTACGCTTAAGAATTGTATTTTTTGAGTTTATTGGAGTTTGGTGCTTTATTGAAGTGAACCGAACCTTAGACTTGAACAAGCAAGGTGAAATTTTCCTAAAGCTCTCTAGTTTCAACAAATAAATCTTTCGAATCTCATGGATTTCTAGCTAAACATATGGTTTATGGTATACATTCTAAACCCGGTTTATAATTTTCTAATTGAAAATGTATTAAAAGGTAAAAAGTGTCTTGCTTATTCGAATTTGACGTAATAATTGCTCAAATTATTAAGGGTCAACTTTATAAAAGTGAGAGCTTAACATAAAACTTGATACAACTTTTCAAGTTTATCGTAAAAATGTACTCGTTTTTAGATGAAATCAAAAAATAAGCTCATAATTCAAAAGAGGGTGAGTTTTAATCTCTAAAAATTCATTTAACTTTTCTTATCATACCCTTATCATACCCAATTCATATATGAGCACAAGCAATCGATCAATTTAACATTTATCATCATTTATCTAAAAATTTGAAAGATGTAACCAAATTGCAACTATGATAACATACAACCACTTAACCACTTGAATTAATAAGAACAGCTCAAAAGAACCCAAAACCCACCACAAAAAATGCATATCAAAATCAAACTCAAGAGCATGTGGGTTGGATGCACAAACCAGAGGGTCATAGATGAGAGTGATAGCCATTGACTTATTGCTGTCAAGATTGATAAAACAAATTAAAAGACCAATTTAATCTTTTTCTTTTAAAAAAAACTCACAACAGCTAGAGAGATTAGCTATGTTTCAAGGTATGATCCTTGTCGTGTTTATGTTGAGTAATTTATCCACATCATGTCGGAGTCCAACCTTAAGATGCAACATTGGACTCACGAAAAGTGATGCAATGTCAACACATTCGTGTCAACCTTAAGATGGCTCAAAAAAATTCTTGCAACGCTCGTCTACGCCATCACACAAGCATGTGTCATGGAGTGACTCACTTTAAGCCCCGAAGCTCAAAAGTGGTAGAGAGCCAACACCATATTTGATATCAGTATACTATAAGACATATTTGATATGACACTCATGCACATCAAAATGGCATGAAGTCCTATGTCAATATGGAGCATTCCTCAAATGTTCAATTAACTCCAAATTTGGCAAACATATATCCTTCACTCATATGAACTAACTCCAACGCCACTTGTTAAAACTCATTACGTAACTCCAATTTTCAGGGTCATTTTTCGGGTTCTCATCAACGTCGTTAAACTTGTCTTTGACACCTCTAAAATCTTGTCGCTTCTATTCCTACTTACCCCTTAGCTTGGTATTTGCCTACGCTTCTTGGTATGTTAGATGATACATAGCCTGACGAGTGACGCGCGTGTGCTACTATTACTCTTGTCTGCAACATGAGATTCACGACATAGTCTCTTCTAATATTACTATTCTCTCCCTCACGACCCACTTCATCACACAATTAATTGCGACACTTATTGGACCACATCTCTTTTTTCTTTCCTCTCTTCGGAGTCTGAGATGTGACAACTCCTTCATGGTTGCAACGCAGGTAACCCTTATCTCTTTGGACCACTCCTACTTTCCTTCTCCAATTTCCATCCATTCATTTTATCCTTTTTTTTTTTTTTCCTCCTAATTTCCTTTTTCAATAAAAATTTTAAACTTTTAAATTATTCGAATTTGTAAACGTTCTTAATAGTTTATTTTTGGACATCAATACGAACAAGCTTAGTTTCAAATTCAATTTCCGTAGTTTTTTAAAAACCCTAATTTAGAGTGTTTATAGCTCGGTTAAAATTCACCCGTCACACCTATCCATCTTTTAACCAAGCTAAGCTCTATCTTTTTAATTCTTATTTTTTATTCAACCGAAAGCCCATTACTATATCGTCACGTAGGTAAAAAATACATGTATATATGAAATATTAGAGTAAGGACCATTTTCCTTTTTTTTTTGTTTTTTTTCCTTTTCTTTTTCAAAGCACTTTATAAAAGAATTACTATTAAAGGAGCTTATAATAATTGTAAGAAACAAAATGAAAAGTAGAAGGTTGTTTTCGTAATCTTCTCTTTGTTTTATTTAATTTTTAGATATGTAATAAAAAAAAATAAAAAAAAAAGTCAATTTTTGAGAATTAAAAAAAATAGTTTTTACAAACTTAGTTTATTTGTTCATATTTTTATAAACAATAACTGTTTTTCAAATATAAATAATTATTAAATGGGATATTAAATTTTAAAAATATGCTAATATTTAAATTTTAAAATTATTGTTAAAACATATTTTTAATATCAAAATTCTTTGTTTGTTAGACTTAAAAAAAATCTAATCACTAACCACTCAAACCTACGACTAACTGATATTATTTATTTTAACTCGTATTATTGTCAACCTTACTGTTTTTAAAACGTGCTAGAGAGAAGTTTCTACACACTTATAATGAATAATTCGCTCTCCTTACTAACCGGGGTGGGATTCACTCTCGCTTAGAGTCCATCGTTCTTGTTGGCATACTCCTCGATGATGCGTCTATAAAAAATATTTTATTCCCGTTTTCAATAGATTAATTAATATGAAAACGTGAATCATTTGATTTGTTTAAACTAAAAGAGAGATTGAATTTGAGGGAGAGTTAGAAAAAGACATGAAGAACTGACAGGACATATCCATTGAAAGAAAGACACAGACATTTATAAGAGACCCATCCATCTATCTTTCGGACAAGACCAATTCATGTGCCTCCAAACCTCCACCAACCACATGATTTGACGTTTCAGATTCTCTCTTCTTCTTCCCTTTTCATATTATTACTCCTTTTTTTCATTAAAAACTAACCAAAACCCTTAGTTGTTCTAACCTCACATGTGCATATATGAGACACCGAGCATAGAAACCGCCTAAACCCACTACTAGTAGATATTGTCTGTTAGGAGAGATTTACACACTTTTATAAGAAATGTTTCGTTCCATTCTCCAACCAATGTGGGATCTTACAATCCACCCCACTCAGGGGTCTAGTGTCTTCGTTGGCATACCGTCCAGTGTCTTGATTTGATACCATTTGTAATAGCTCAAGCCCACTGCTAGTAGATCTTGTCTACTATGACCCGTTACGTATCGTCGTCAGTCTCACAATTTTAAAATGTGTCTACTAGGGAGAGGTTTCTACATATTTATGAGAAATGTTTAATTTCCCTCTCCAAACGATGTGGGATCTCACACGTTAGCTTCTAGATATCCAAAGAAGAAAAGCTTGCATATACCCGACAGTTATGAAACAACGATATACATTCCGAAAGGGGTTTTAGAGAAACCCTAATTTAAATTTGTAAGATTCGTATTGTTGGATCACGTAGAACAGACTCATTCGTAATTTAATATAACTAAACTCACATACCAAATATGAATTTGTCTCGTAAACAACTCAAATTTTGGTAATTCTTTCTAACAAAAGGGTCGCCCAACCAACCCATCACTACAAATTAGGGTTTGTATTGATGCATTTACATGTTCTAATTTGATAGTGAGGAAAGTGGAAGAAATGATGAGTAAAAGAATATATGCAAAGAGATTTTGGTTGGCGAACCAAATTGGTTTCTTAAAAGCTGTCGTTTGTAACCCCAACGTAATACCTTTATTCATGTCTTTTCGGTGCCAACAAAATCCCCTTGGTTGACGCCCATAACACACAGTACTCAACAACTGTGTGTGTGTATATATATATATATATATGTATATATGTCCACTCCATGGAATCACTGCCAATCTCGAGAAATCATCGCTAATTAGCTAGTTAGCTAGTTCGTTGATCTTTGTCTCATTTGAAACAAGCCAAAAGAATGAGGGAATAACTATGAATTGTGCTCGATTCTTGCTATTTATCTTAACTAGCTAGCTCTTTGATCTTCGTCTCGTTTGAAACAATGCCAAGAGAATGAGCGAATAGCTACGGATCGTGCTTGATACTCACTATTTATCTTAGCTATATAGCTCGTTGATCTTCGTCTTGTTTGAAACAAGGCCAAAAAAACGAGTGAATAGCTATAAATCATGCTTGATTCCTGCTATTTATCTTAGTTAGTGAGCTCGTCGATCTTTGTCTCGTTTGAAACAAGGCCAAAAGAACGAGTGAATAGCTATAAATCGTGCTCGATTCCTGCTATTTATCTTAGTTAGCTAGCTTGTTGATCTTCGTCTCATTGAAACAAGGCCAAAATAATGAGTAAATAGTTCTGAATCGTGCTCGATTCTCACTATTTATCCGATACGAAATGAAAAATAAGGAAAGTCCATATAATAATACCGTTAATCCCACGTGTTCAAGGAACAAGAAGAGATGGGAATGAAATACACACATAAATTTAAAAGCCTAATTAAAAGGGTGTTTTTATTTAGTAATTTTATCAATTAATACACCATAATCTCTAGAATTAACAGGTGGCAGAATCCCATTGGATATTTAAATGGACTTAATTACTTTGCTTATTATTTCCATCCAGCTTCTGCCCTAAGTGGATGTGAGGTAAATGTGCCCACTGCAAACCAAATACAATAAGCTCATACATTAATCATTTAATTAATTACTTTAATCAACCAATGTTTTAATATTATTAAAATATATATATATATATATATATATATATATATATATATTAAATGTGTGACATTAATACTATATTGGCCATATGTATATTTCAACATTATAATTAATTACAAAAGAAAAGGAATAGATATAAGAGCTTACATTTTTAGCTGCTGTGCTAAAGGCTTCTCTGTGGCTTATGTCAGGGTTGTTAGCCTTAATCCTTTGGATTTCCGCTCTATAAAACAGGATTATTAGACCATAAACATACTTAATTAACACACTAATCCCAAATTAAATAAGCAAATCAACTTACTTGATGAACCTGTTATATGCAGAAGGAATCCGCTGTCTTTTCTCCGGTGCTGCCCACATTCAAAACCATTCTAAATTTACTCAAAAACCCACTAAATAATTTCAACTACTCGACCCAAATTATAAGGGTTGAGTCAGGTTGGTATAAGAGTTGAGTTGGGTTCAGTTAGATTTTTTTTCCAACTTGGTTTAAGCTAGGTAAAGATAAGGGTTGGGTTGGGTTGGGTTAGATCTTTTTTCCAATGTGGTTTGAGCTAGGTAAGGATAAGGGTTGGGTTAGATCTTTTTTCCAATGTGGCTTGAGCTAGGTAAGGATAAGGGTTGGGTTGGGTTGTGTTCGGTTAGATCTTTTTTCCAATGTGGCTTGAGCTTTGTAAGGTTACGGGTTGGGTTGGGTTCGGTTAGATCTTTTTTCCAATTTGGCTTAAGCTAGGTTGGGATAAGGGTTGGTTCGGTTAGATTTTTTTCAATTTGGCTTGAGCTAGGTTGAGATAAGGGTTCAATTTGGTTAGATTTTTTTTTCCAGTTTAGATTGGGTTAAATTTTTAAAAAAAATATAAAATAAAAAATTGGTTTAGTTCATGTATTGAACCTAAAAAATAGCGTTCACAACACTATCCGACCCAACCCTACTTTTCGAATATTTGACTTTTGTAATAAATATTAATGATGTCACAGGTTGATATTTAAGTTTTATAAGATTTTCTTAAATAATAAAAAAAATGAACAACCAGACAACTCAATTGGACGGTGTGTAAACCCTATTCAGGTTATTTAGAACACCAACCCAACCTAACTCGTGTACAATCTAGGTTAAATCGACACCGAATAAAAAGGAATTAAATGAGAAAAACAAAAATGAAAAAATAGAATGAAAAAAGTGAAAAAGAGCAGAGGAATCAATGACATATCACAAATGAGTGAAAGGCAATTCAGAAAATAGCTTTGTCACAGTATTTCATATTTTTGTGCAAAGTGTTAACCAAAACAACCCATACATAAAATATATATATACATACATACATATACAAAGAATAACACAAATATGCATAAAGAATGGCCCATGATCTTGATGGGTCAGATTCTATTATGCATGAATGGTCACCATCCATGATGGGGCCATCTATATGCATCATAACAAATTAATCCCAATAATAATAATAATAAATATATTTTTCATTTAATTGCATTACTGGAGATCATAGCAAAGGAGAAACTCACGGCGAATTGGAGGGATTCTATGTTGGTCACGTTCAGCAGATTCAAGTGACCCAATTTTGCTGCATTTTGAAGAAGATGAGCCTCTGTCCTTGCTTGAATCCTCGGGGCTCGCTAGTTGCGGCTGCTTATGACCCTAAAGCACAAACCCGTAAGTACTCGACTCGACTCGACTCGTGGGTGTGAATCTCAGGTGAGTGTTAGGTAGCTAGGATTAAAAATTTGAACCTCTGATATTTTGATTTGACGAGGAATGACCTCTTGTGGAGGAAGAACCTGAAGGGAAGCTCCCATGTTTACGGACAGCAGATTGGTGCAATGGCCACATCTCACAGTCACGAGTGTGAACATGTTGTTGCATGGAACACTTACCTGCCAAACAAAACATAATCAAAAACATTTTCCCATATCCTTAATTACATCGAATTTTCATAACAAGGGTAAGGGTAATGGAAGAGGTTAAAGGAGAGAGAGAAGGAAGAGTTTGGGTTTGTTTGTGTGAAATCTCTACCATATGTTAGTGGTGAGCTTGTGTTGTTACAAATGGTATCATTACTCGGTTGAAGTGGGAAACGAAACATTTCTTATGAGGGTATAGAACTTTTCGCTAAACGCATTTTAAAACCTTGAGGGGAGCCTAGAAGGAGAAACTCAAAAAGGACAATGTCCGTTAGTGGTAGGTTTATGTTGTTACAAATGATATCATTCCACATCGGTCAAAGAGGGAATCAAAGCTTTTTTTTTTAAGGGTGTTGAAACTTTTCCTAATAGACGCGTTTCAAAACCTTGAGGGGAGCCCGAAAGGAAAAGCTCAAAGATGACAATATCTGCTTATACGGTTACAAATGACAGCATCTCACATCAGTTGGAAAACAAAGCATGAAAACTTCTCACTAGTAGACACATCTTAAAACCTTAAGAGGAAGTCTGAAATGGAAAACTCAGAGAGTACAATATTTGTTAAAGATGGACTTTGGCCATTACAAATGGTATCATCCCATATCTATTGGAGAAGGGAACGAAACATTTCGTGTGGAAACTTATCCTTAGTAAACGCGGTTTAAAACTTTCAGAGAAAGCCCGAAACGATTCAGATGCCCAAATGGCTATTAGGAGAGTTTGAGGACAAATTTTTATGTATCTTTTTCAATGGTGACTCTTAATGACTTCCAATCTGACACCACCGCAAGCAAGACAGATAAAAGATGGGAAAAAGACATGACTGGAACGGAAACCATAGAGATGATGCATTACACCAAAATCAAAAAACAAATCACCACGAACATAGATCGATCGACCCATCTCGTGATCATCTCTACTTCTTTCTCTAAGCACCTCTTTTAAATCCCAAATTCAAGATCGGGAATAAACTATAAATCATACTTCAATTTAAGCACAATTTAACTAGGTACGATCTATTTGGCAACCGAGGAAAGAGAAAAAAAGAAAGATCAACTCATCGTTCATCAGACCTAAATTTGATCCCGAAAATTCAAGAACCCTAACTTTTGGGGTTAGATCCATTTAACAATGAATTTACTTCCTTGTAGAGTGAAGAAAGGGTTTGGGTGGAAATTGGTCATAAAATATAAACAGAAAACAATTTATGGAGAAATATGAAAAGATCTGGAGATTTGTAAGCAGTGTTTGAAGATTCCAACAGTAAAAAGAACAAGACCATGATTTGGTTTGAAACTGATAAAGTGAAACAAATGGTCTTTTCAGCTGAAAATGAAAGTAGTGTAACAAACACAGCGCCATAAAACTCCATGGGAAAAGCAAAGAATTGGTATTAAAGATAGAAAGGTTAAGGTTTGTACCGCTAAAATGGTGTTGCAGAAGTTGCAGTGAACATAACAAACACGTTCTGATGCCATCATGTCCAGTGACATTTCCTTCTCAGATTGCTTAATCCTTCTCTTCCACGACACAATATGTTAAAAAAAAAACAGCTCTTTTAATAAAATTCTTGTTTTTTTTTTTTTTTTTTTTTTCTTTCTCTATGTCAGCTCTAAATGATCAAAAGAACTAAGAACAAGGGAGAGAGAGAGAGGGAAGAGAGGGAGATGTTTTTTTATTCTTTTTTTTTTTTTTTGGAATGTGTACAAAAATCTGAAAGTTGAGATGAGGATGGGACTAGTCTGGTCGAGAGAGAGAGAGAGAGAGAGAGAGA